GGGGGGGGTTGAGGGAGCAAAGATGACCTCGGAGTGCAATAAAAAGGACAAAGTAATTTATCGCTACGCAGACCTGAGTGAAAACGTATTCATCCTGCACGACCAGCGAATTGGTGTCCACGTGTCCCGGGAAGAGGTACTGCCTGTTGGCCTCCGTGCACCGCTGGGCTCTGCACTTCACGTACTGAGCACCTGGGAAGGGGACGGCAAAGGAAATCAATCCGGAGTAAATTACCAACGTTTAGCCCAGAGTTGCGCTTGTATGCACTGGAGATGCCAAGGAAAATGCGCTTGTAGCTCATCACATCTTTAAAAATGCAGTTGTACACACCTTTGGGCAGTGATAAATAGCATTTGCAATTTTTTTTTTGTCTTCAGGGAAAGTAATTGCGTGACCAGCGTGGAGGGGGGTGGGGCGGCAGGGGCGGAGCTACGAGAGGGCCCAAGGTGGGCTCGGCTCGCCGGCTCTAACGCCTCATTTAAGATTTAGAAAAATGTCATTCTGTCAAGCAGATAATGAATTCAAAAAACAACAGAGATTGTTTTGTCTGCGCCTCTTTGATACGATTTGAATGAATGAGCCATTTCTTGGCATTATGCAAAATGGCGTCGGCCGACGGTGACGAGTGATCAATCTGATTGGCTGTTAGCTCGCGAATCTGCAAACGAGACAGAAGTAAAACACTGTGAATACTTCCGAGATTGCTGTCTGGGTTCAGCGCTGGATGTTAATTAAAAGCTCAGCACCGTGAACAACGTCGCGATGTCTCACACAACAAACATTAAAGCCACACGTGGCTTGTGAGCATCGCCCGCCCACCAATGAACACAAAGCTCGCGATTGCACTGACTGCGCATTAGAGCGCCATGTGGCTTTGAAAGGGCGACACGCGGGGGATGCGTTAAGTAGAAGAAACATCCATCAACGCCCTAAAACTCTCTCACTCCCTCCCCAGCCCCTCGCAGTTTTTTGTCAGCTGGACCTATTCTGCTTTACTGCACTTCAGGGAGAGCGCTGTGGAGGAGCGGCTCGCGCCCTCGCTCTTTGAATAAAAGGCAAAGGAGTGGGGGGGGGCAGCACTCACGGCCTTTGGCGACCCGCGTCTCGATGTGAACCGCGTCCGACTCTCTGTCCAAGCCCATTACAGCCCTGGCGGGAAGAAAGAGAAGATGGAGAGTCTTGTAATTGCGCAATCTCAAAGCCCATAACAGCATGTTTGTTTTTTTTTTTTTCCAAACCGCGAAATGAGCGCCTATTTCGTTGCGATTCACCAAAGCAGGAGACCAACGAGGGGGAATAAACAGCAGGTGACAAAAGCACAGAATGTAACGGCTTCAAAACGACTGCAACAAAAACACGAGCTATTCTTTAAGGGACAATTGTGACTTATTACTGTGAAGTAGCGATCATGTGCATGAGGTAAATTGCAACTCAAATGAGCGACTGTCAATTGAGCAGCATGTGTTAAAAAAAAAAAAGGAACAAAAGGGAATAAATGGGCTCGTATCAATAGACCCTGGCAAATTTTCATCTTGAAGAAAATGTTTGCACTCAAGCGATGGGCCAGAAAAAAAATGCTATGTACATTTAATCTGTACAGAGGCCTACATAGATCCTAGTTTCAAGTTATATTTTGCACCAAAAAACAAAACAAAAAAAAAACTTTGCCGATTTCTTTTAGTTTCGAAATCTAAGGTGTAATTTTACAAGAAAAAATGTATTTTCATGATGAAATGTGTAATCTTATCGGAATAAAGTTGTCTATCTCCAGGGAAATAAATGATAGATTTTTAGATTAAAGTAATGAAATTTTATGAGAAAATATTTTATTTTCATTACCAAAGCCACAAATTCATCCTCTGGAGAAAAATTGCATTTTTGACTTTTTTTCCAACAAAAAGTTTTTGAAGATTTAGTTCGGGAATGAAGTTGGATACCAAAAAAATATAAATATGTATATTGAGCAAAAAAACCCTCATATTCTCAAGATTAATTAGGTATTTTTCCAAACAAAACTGTCAATTTGAGGAAATAAAGTCATCATTTGAGGAAGAAAGAAAAGTACACAGTTTGGGGCGAAAACAGAACAAATCATTATTTGTGTAGTGATAAGGCTCTTTTTTTTTTTTTTTTTTAGATTTACTTCATTGTGGGTCGTATACACCTACACGTGTTTGTCCGCGCACGCGTGCGTGATCGTACCAGTAGAATCGACCCGGCATCACGTTGTCGTGCACGAGCTGCCATCTCTTCCCGAAGTCCATGGAGCTGTACAGCTGCAAGATAATAGCGACGGTAATAACAGCGGTAGGTAGATCGCCAACAGCCCCCGCCGCAATCAAGGCATCCGCACGACAATCCGAGCAATTTCACTCGCACCGCTGCGCTTAAAAATCCACCTTGCCGTCGTGGCTGTAGGCCAGGATCCAGTTCTCCTGCGCCGGGTGGAAGAGGAGGCTGAGAACATTGAAGCTAATGGGATGCTTCTCGAAGCTCGCCCCCTCGTCCGAGCTGATCAGAACGGCGCTCTCCACCTCCGGGTCGCTCAGCATCATTATCTGAGAGGAGAGAGGAGGGACGGCGTATCAGAGCCGCAGTCGTCTTGCCGGCAGTTGAGCCGCTGAGAAGTAAGAGTGGCCTAACTCCGCTCAAGTCATTTTGTTAGCCTGGTAGCATGATTGCCCAAGTTGTTTTATTTATTTATTTTTTAAAAATTTTTGCGAAACAGGAAGAAAGAAGAAAAAAAAAACACCAAGAGCTCAGTTGCCAGACTCAACCTTTGCGGATTACCATGACCTGGATGACACTGGTATCAAGAAAACTACCGTAATGCGATTTTTAGTAAGCTAGGCTATCAATTTTTAAGTTACTTTTTAATTAAAGACAGGTTTAGTTCCAATTTTCGCAAACCCGAGCATCCGTTATTTTGTATGATTTTGTTAGCCTATTCGCAGTTGCTTCAGACTTTTTTGAACTTTTTCGGAAAACGACAAAAACAAACCCCCCCCCCAAAAATCTGACAAGAATTGAATTTTTTCAGAAAACACGATAAAACAAAGGCCACAAACACAAAAAGCGTGCCAGTACTTTGAATAAGTCAAGCTATTTATGATCATTCATGAAATGATACTTTCTATTATTATAATTAATAATTTTTGAACCACAATGCAAAAAAAAAAAAAAAATCTATCCAGAAGTAGCAGTCAAATCACCACGCTATAAATCCCTGAGGTTTTAGTGCGCTCATAAAACTCGTACAAAATTAGAAAAAAAAATTGAGTTAGCTCACTCTCATTCTCAGTCACCCATTTGTAAAATAAATCAGTAAATATATACATAAAAATAACAAGAAAGGACGAGATGACCTTCTGTTTGTTGGTGGGGCACACGTAAAGGTAACTCAGCACGGTCCTCGAGCCCACTTTGTCGTTGAGCTTCGTGTAGGTGCTCCCATAGTCGCTGGACCTGCATTAAATAAACACACACACACACACACACACACACACACACGCTGGGGGTACATAAACAACAACAAAAAAGCCTGCAGAATGTAAACGCATTGTCGTATTGTCTGTCTACATGTGTTGCGCCACCCCTTGTCTTTAAATTTTGGCGACTTGAAACATCACATCATGACACTGATGCTAAATGTTAGCCTGTCTCTGGCGTTTTTTGCATTGTTTGTCAGCATGAAGCTAAATGGACTTTCTGAAGGCCAACCTATGAGGTTGTTTTCGTCATTTTCTTTGTTTTGTATGTAACTTGATGCTAAACTTCAAATGCGAGTGGCATTAAACAGCCTGAAATTAGATTTCTTGCATTCCGTTGGTGACATAATGAAAGTATTGCATGCGAAACCTGACAAATTATCTCTCGGGCTTCGTTCAGTCACATGCTGCTGTCACTTCTCCATGTCCCTTCCATGTGCACGCGTCCATGACAAGGGTAAATGCGCTTGTCATCCCAATCCTCATAAATGCCCGCCCCGCCTCCCCCCATGAATCCGCACCATCCGTTCTACCTGAGCGCCCGCAAATATAATTTCACTACATAATTGGATAGATATCCGAGCAATGTCTGCTATCGTTGCCCGCGCATGAATCTGAAGTGTCCCATTTGCTGTTGACATTGTTTTCAAAGACTTATCCCCTAAACACATTTGTGCAGCCTAAGTGCTGCTTTCAGCTGCCACATCGGAACGGCTGGGCAAAAAATCTGCGAGGTTATTGCACGGCAAAGTTGATTTCGCAGAAAAGAAGCAGTCGTTTGAAAAACACAGGAGGACTGGTGCGAGTCGCCACATCGATCCAAACATCACGGATATCGCCGGCGACTGGCTGCCAGCTATTGTGGCCATCAATCATTTACGTTCTTCTCACAGAAATCGACGCATGCTCACTTCTTTTTCATAACATCTATGTGTGTGTGTGTGTGTGTTTTTTAATACCTGCACTAAGCGCCTGAGGCGCGCAGTAATTTTCTTAGGGGTACGGCGTTGTGACCCAGACCCCTCTTTGATGGAAGACTTCCTCTACTCTCGACGAGGTATTCAAAAAGGCGTCAAGTCGAGCGTAAATCTTTGCGGCGCCTCTGGTGAAACCGATATTCATTTGAAACTCTACGGACTGATGTGTTTCACAGTGAAATGAGTTCTCTTCAGATTGTGAGAAGGCGAGGAGTGAAAGCGGGGGCGCGGGGAGGGTGGGGGGTGGGGCATATTAGAAGGCTGGATTTAGTTCTCTGGTATGATCCTTGATGAAATGAATTCTTATTTATGAGCCTGACAGGCGCGCGCACCAAAATGTGCACTTCGGTGTAATTGCGATACCGCACAATAGTGGTGATTCAATTACTTCTGACAAGGGGTGGCTTCAGAAGGAAACTCTTGGGACGGCAAAAGCCAGGCCGAATTGAGTCCGCGTGTGAACAAGATGGCGCCCATTCGGTTTGTGATGTAAGACCATTTTGGTCCACCAGATCAATTTGCCATCTACGCAAAAAAATAAAACCTAACTGTAATGTAAGAATAGACTTAAAAGATGTCTCAAGGAAAACTGGTTACCCTTGCCAGTTCCTTAGATGACTTTTTGTATAGTGACATCCACTTTTGAAACATCCTGTACATACTCTCTTCAAATGTGAGGTCCCTGAACTTGCCCGGCTTCCAACACGTTGGCATTTCTCTCCCTTATAATCGAGTCGAGATTCACCCCCAATCTTTATCTGCGACTCAAAAGCTGTGCTGAAGCGCTCCAAGGCCACCATCCACAGACCTGTTTGTCATTACAGTTGTTTCGAAACTTGATATTCACAGACAACGTACGCCAGGACCTCCTCCACGCCGACCCACTGCAAATGGCTCACATCACAAACGTCAATTGCACCGAATAGTTGTGCTTCGGTTGATGAATTCAAACATGGCAGTGGATGAACTAAGTTACCACCCGCATGGAGATGCTTACAATCAGCCAATCCGACTCCAAACCCTGATGTCACTCACTAGGCCACGCCCCTTAAAGGCACCAATCCAACACAGGAATACTCTAGTCTGTATAGTAAAGTGGAAGAAAGGTGAGCAAGAGTTGCTACTTGCAGCCTTTTATTGAAAAAGCCAAAAAGTCAAGCAGAAAAATGCTAAATGAGCACACTCGTAACACACGACACTAACACCCCCCCCCAACGAGAGTGACAACAGGATTAAATTCCACACCATTTGCATTGTAATGAATGAATCCTCACTATCATCATCTTTGCTTGTGTGGGTGTACCTAATGATGTGGCCGGTGAGTGCATGACTTCCAGATAAAATAAAATCGTTTGCTGGCTTTTGTTTGCCCGAATATTGAGACATGTTTTTTTTTTTTTGGTTGTTGTGATTTGTTTTTCCACCATTTTCTATTCACAATCCAAAACCTTGGTGTTTAGAGCAACTCATTTTATAATTGAACTGTCATTGAACACCAGCAGTGTTGCGCTTGCATGACTGAAAAGAATTTTTTTCTTTTGTGTTGAGACGTGTGAGGGGTGCTGGTAGCAGAAGACAAGGCGGTCACACTGTTGAGCAGACATTTTTTTTTTTGTCAGTCCCGCCAGCAAAGTGAATGTGCAAATGGACAAAAATTCTGCTGCCATCCATCTGCTACTTCTCGGTCTCTACGCGCACCCCCCTTTTTTTTTGGATGCTTACGACTCCTGACAGCTCACGATACTTCAAGTAGTTTATTGACTCAACTGCAGAGCGGACCAAGTGTCTATGAGAGCTCGGGTCTTACGGCGTTTTCTTTGTCGAAAATAGGCGGAGGTGGCACTCTGTGTTTTACAGAAGTACTGATACTTCTGTAAAATAAAAAGACTGTAAAAAGTAGAACTTCCGGCAGGGTCCGACATGAATGGTGGCTCGATGGCCCTGGGCCACGATGGCACTGTCGGGCCACCATTACAGATACTGGCCCAACCTCGCCATTAAAAATATTCATAAATTGTTGTTTACATCAAATATTTAATTTTGTATTGACATGTTATTTTTGTATAATTTGGATGTTATTGTATTTTATACGGTGGTCTCCAAGTGTCCACTTCACAGCGGCCAACTGTACTTCAAGCGCCAGTGGATCATCCTTATGGACGTACTTTGTAAGCTCCAATCTCCTGCGTAGACTTCAGGGAGTCGGTTTATGCTTCGGCCATTTCGAATGTGGACCTCTTCTGTACTGAATTTGTTTTTTTCCCATTGTCTGGGAAAAACGCTGTCTGTGTTCCCCCCACAACAGCGCAAACGCCCCCCCCGCGCCTTCGACAGTGAGACCCCAAGACCTCAATCAGTCAAGATCACCGCGGTTGACTTTACCTTCCTTGAAAAAAGTAACACGCCTAGTATGACAAAATAGGAACCAAAATGAAAGGAGAAAAAGTAAAAAGTCATGTAAAGATACCTGAAAAATCGACCGCACACCGCCGAGAATAGTTCGGCGTCACAGTGGGTGCTTTATTAAAACATACGTCATATGGGCTTCCAATGTATCTTCATTTTTTTATCCTCTGGCGAGAGAGCGCGCGTGCGCTATAAGTCACGCTGGATGGCGAAGCCAACTATGAATATATTTTCCTTAGTGGTGCTTTTGCATGTTTATCGAATTAGAGGTGGCGGCGCGCCAGTCGCCTCACTGTGCATCGATGTGATTCAAAGCAACGTACCTCCACAGAGAGCTTTCGGTAACGGCGCCCAGGTTGAAGTCGTACAGCTTCGTCAGGATGAGGATCACCTGCAACGTGAGAGCATCATTTTTCATTAGGTAGGAGGGAAGTCTGAGTGTGTTTCACTTACATGTTTTTATTAGTCGGGCAAAACGACATTTGGTAAGCATGTGATTTAAACCCACAAAAATATTTCAAGGAGCTGCCTGGGGAAAAAAATCAAGAAATCCGCCAGTTTGGTTCAAATTGGCAATTTCTAGGTCATTCTTATTACTCTTACATGAAAACAATTCCTTCCATTGAAATGAATTCAAATGCCATTAATCCGTTCCAGACATCAGAATATCACAATCTCTTCCCTGTTTTAGGAAAGTATGTAAAATGTAAATATAAAAACACGATGAAACACACTAAAAGTGACTGTATGTCAAGAAATAAACTGTTTTCCATGAAGTGTTTTGAAGACAATACAAAGCATCTTTATTTGGATGGCGCCTTCACAACAGCTGCAGCTGGAACAAAGGAAGACGTCTCTGAACCACTGGTGGAAGGAGACTTTGATTCTCTCCTCTTTCATTCATAACTGCTTCTCAGAAACACAGTGCATGAGGGAATAGTTGTTACGATGGCATTACTGTCGATGATTTATGTTACGTGTTCTGCCGTTGTATCGTTATTTTATGTTCAATGTTCTGTAAAGCCAAAAGTCGCAGCCACATAGTAGCACAGTAGTGTATTTGTGTCGGAACAAGTGACACTAGGAAGCCCGGAATCAGTTTACTTAGTGCATGTGTGTCGAACAAGTGACACTAGGAAGCCCGGAATCAGTTTACCACTCGGTTAGTCTGCGTGTTAGCGTTTGCTTCATGATCCTTGCGAGTGTTTTCATTTTGTAGATGTGTGCTTGGCTGCTTATCTCGATCAACAACGGGCCTCAAATGCATTGGTGAGGGCAGGTCTCCTTCTTCATCACTTCAATGGAAGAGTGGTTGAAGCTGGTGTCATTTGACGAAATACAAAAAAAAAAAAAAAAAAAAAAAAGACTTTTTGAAGTTAGTTTAAATTAAAATTTTTTTAACTTAAATATTAAAAACATTTTTTTTTTTAGTATTAAGGTAATAGCGCTACCTATGCCAGCTAAATCTACAAGTCTGCCACACGCCGTTCCTAATGAGTGTCATTTCCAAGTGGATCCCAATGACAAGGCACGCTCATGTTGTGACTCAACGTCAGCTTGCTGGCACCTTCGCAGAATCTCTGCCAGACGTTTGTGTCTGTGTGTGCGTGTGTGTGTGTGTGTGTGTCCCTCATTTGGAATGACAGCAGGAAAAAGTCTGCACAAAACGTAATTGCTCAGTGAACACTGAAAATGGCTCCGCGCTGCTTTCTCACACACTTTTGTCTGTTAGCCGAACGGAATGCATTTGGCTAATTGGAAGCCGTCCAGCGTGTCCATGTTCTCTGGACAATGCGTTTCTAGGGAGCCGGAATTGTGGCCCATAAAAGGGCTGCCAATGCACAGAGGGCCAAGTGAAATGGTTTGCAAACACATTATTGTCACTCCAATGGTATTATAAAAGACCGCCCCATGGGGATGATCATAACTCAGCTTAGGAAGTAGTGGAGGCCGTGAGGGTTGGGGGTGGGTGCGTGTGTGTGGGACGGGGGGTGAACAAAGAGGCTGGAGGGAAGGAGGGAGTTGGAATAACAATCGAGGAGGAGAAACATGGCATATCCGTACTAAATTTCATAAAGCCTGGAAGATGGGTCACAAGCTCAATTACAGTTAGTTTAAACACATTAACCTTGCGGGACCTGCCGAACGACTGATTAAAGCTGGAAAAAAAAAAAAAGAAAAAGCAGCGGCACATTTGGCGGAACAAAAGACGTGTCTTTAAGACGTCTTTGAAGACGTCGAAAACCCAATTGACCCGCCACGCAGCCTTCAAACACAGCCCGTGCGCTCGGCCAGGACGAGCCACATTACGGGTTAATTAACCAATCACAAAGACAGATAAGCATTAGCATAACTAAATGCTTCGTGTCTGCCAGGTCCGAGGGCTCGAGTCGGAATCAATTTGGTGTAAAAGATTTGGTTAAACGGTTGTGATGTCAGGCCTAAATGCTCACTTTGAGAAAAGCGATACAAGGAGGAAAGCTCTGTTGATCGTTTGTCTCCTCGCCGCGGCCAGCTGAAGTTAACGCGGAACCGATTTGATCCGGGAGCGGCAAAAGGATGCCAACAAATTCATTGACGGGGTTTACGGTAAAGTTCATTGCTTTGGATTACGGGGATTCCATCGAAAGTTGCCTTGAAGAAAGTAAAAGTTGCTTATCCGAACCATTTTTTTCCCCCAAAAATTAAAAGGTTGCAATTTGGCCAAAAATATTAAGGAAAAAAAATGGCAACCAATAACATAGTATTGTAAAGGCGCAGATAAATTGCCAATAAACATGAGCGCCTGGAGTTGCCCCCCCCCCACCCCTGAGAGTCACCCCTCCCCCCAAAATAAAAAAAATATTTTTTAATTACTGGGGGAAAAAAATCCATACACCCCACAAAAAAAATCTATTAAAATGTTTAATATATGTATCTTTTTTTTTTTTTTTTTTTACATAGTGTCCATATGAGTTCAGAAGTGCGGCCTATGAAACATAAATAGATGCTATACATTTGTTTGCATATTTCTAGCAACATGAATTTTCCGAATTTCGTCGATAACTCACTTGTTTAGTTGAATTTTGTGAAGTTGTCATCGCCACCACCCATAGCACAAGTCAGCCTTGCGAAAGTCCCCAACTCTTAATTTGAAGGAGATAAATCGCCCGTCTTTCAAATTGAGTCATGGTTCATTTGCCTTTATTTTTGCCTAAGCCTACTCTTAAAAGCAAAACCTTTGTGTGTCATAAATCGGATTACAGTAATCGATTAATTTATGGCTCGCGTTTGTTCAAAACTATACGGGAAGAGGGAATATTAAATCGCAATCGCAGGCACGCTTGAATTACTTTTCCTAAAATCGTTCAGCCCTCCCCGCTGCCATCACGCTTGTGCTTCTGGCTCATTAACAGGAGGCGACCCCTTCGAATTGGGTCAGCACAGAGCTACCTCGGAGACCGACAGACTAGTGAGGCAGATGACTTGTTTGCGTGATTTGTCCCTGAGTGGATACATCAAGAGTACATGCGCTGCCGACTGTTCCCACGTCTTCACTTCACTTGTTATTGATAGCCTCTGTAAGCGTGGATGCGTTCAATAGGGAGCCTCTAATATATATGCAAATGGGAGTGGGCCACATCGCGGGTGCGACAAAATAACACGACAAATGAAGCCGAATTAGTGGCAAAATGCTACGTGCTTTTTTGTGTGTGTGTGTGTGTGTGTGTGTGTGTGTGTGTGTGTGTGTGTGTGTGTGTGTGTGTGTGTGTGTGTGTGTGTGTGTGTGTGTGTGTGTGTGTGGCCGCCTGGCTTTTTATGTAAATAAAAAAGGGGGAAGAAACAAGCCCAAAATGGCTGCCAGTAGAATTCCAAAGGCTTCAAGGTAAAAATCGCGTTTCCATGAGTCTTCGTTGCTCACTTGCAAACGTGAAATTAAGTAAGAACGCCGCGAGGGCAAAAGCAGCGTATTTATTCATGTTTATGTTTTATTGATGTGCGCAAAGGGAGCTTTCGCCCCGGGAAAGTCAACCAATCATTTCTTCAGATGGGCTTCACATGCACCCTCCAAGGAGTTGGTTTTAAGTCATCCGTTTATCCAAATCGTCTATTCTGGTCTGCTTCTTTTCTCTGTCTTTGCCAGCTTTTCCCGCTTGCATCACAATTCCAATGAGGAATCCACACACACACACACACACACACACACACACACACACACACACACACACACACACACACACACACACACACACGGGGAAAAAAAACATGAAAGGACTGTCAAAGTCATGTGCACTTTGACCCCCGCGGGCTGAAAGCCTCCATGGCAACAAGCATGTCGCCGCCGCTCATCCGAGCGATCTTACATAAACATCCCGGCATGGAGGCAGCGCTTGCACTGCACCACAATGACTGCTGGACCAAATCAAATCTTTTTTTTCGGTGGGACAGGAAAAAAAAAAAAAAAAAAGAACACCCAGCATCAATCCATTTTTTTCTTTGATTCAAAACAGAACATTTTAAAGTGCTTTCAATAGGACGTGAGAGGCATCTCAACGCCACTTTTTTTTTTTTTTTCCCTACACGGCCCGCAATTTAGCTATGATTCATTTTGTACAAACTGCTTGCTATCAATAAAATGTTGGTGCACTTTCCGACATGAAATCTTTTGCTCACTCACTCACCCTCAAAGTAAAGCTTCATGAAGGACCCCCTTTCAAATATCATTTCTTGCTAATTGGCCAGTCGAGGAAAAAAAAATGAGAGGGCGCTTGCTCTTTGCCCCTTTTCTCCGAGGATGGCGAGCGATGCCACATTTTTTTTTTCTCCAACCGAACCGGAGGCAACAACTCAAGGTTCTAAATTAATTTCCAGGGGACGCCCACCTGCACCCCCCCCCCCAACCTCCACCTGTGTTGATATGAATGACTGATGCAAGCTTCTTTGCTATCAAAACACGCAAGCGCGACTTATTTACCCTTAGTGGCGCCTGCGAATGCTCACGGCATTTACATTCTCATGAATAATCATCAGCTGGACTATCGTACCGTATATGACTATGACGGCGAAGAATAAACATTCCAGGCGAGAATCTCCGGGGAGGAACCATCAGCTTGTTGCCTCCTCTAAAAAAAAAAAAAAAAAAAAAACGGACGACTAACAAGTCACTCTCAAGGTGTCAACAGGCAAACGTGGCGAACTTCAATCAAACCAAAGTCCCCTTCGCTTGTCAGCTGACTTCAGGTTAGTTAAGGCGGTAAAAACCAGACTGAATTAAACATGACAGGAACCAAACGTGCGTCTCGAGCCATCGCAGCAGCTCCGAGATGCAGGCAAGCTAGAAACCACAAAGGAACCACAAGAAGACATTTTTATTTTATTTTTTTTTTTGCCCGCTATAAGAATTTGAGCTGC